CGGAAAAAAATCCAACGAAATTTAGCAAGTAAGACATGACAGAGCATTTGCAAGCAAACCTACAAAAAGGCAAATGCCAGAACAGAGACTGTTTGTATCAACTTAGTTCATTATAGAAGGGATAGTTTCGGGCATTTACAGACGCTCGATGGATTCACTTTCTGAAAGGGTGTTCAATGTTTCTTTACAAAGGAGGAGCGCCGGCGTCTTTGCTTCCCTGTTCCCTGTGTTTGGACCTCTGTAATTGCATAGTAAATAATTGATGTTATTATGCAAGCATATTTTTCCGGCTACCTGATTGGTCTAGAGGCGGTCACGTGACCGTCGACAGAAAAGCATATTGACTCCAACCCAGCTCCGACCAAAAGTCATATTGATCTGAGTTACTATGACGTCATTCTATTGTTTACATGTCACAGTATTGCTGACATAACGTTATTGGTTTGTAGTGAAAATAAAACTACTTTTCTTGACTAAATGGACATGTTTTGGATTTTGGAAACTATTTTTCGGTAATTACAAAATAGAACAATTATAGACTGGCGAATTCGGTCAATACCTGTTTTTATGGGCCCTCAAAAGCAATATTGACCTTGGACTTTTCGCGGGTCCATAAAAACAGGCATTGACCTCAGTACCAGTCTATAATTGTATAATGTTATATAAAGCCAACGTTGAACCATACAAACGATTTATAACCTAGACTCTATGTGGCATCCGAGAGCTACGCTGACTGATACAAGAACGTCGACATCGGATGTCCATCCACAAGACTGATCCCTTTGATTATAAAACAGGGCAAGATTACCAACATAGACTGTCTACAAGTTGACCGTTATGATAGATGTCTAATGCACAAGGCTTTATGCGCCAGCTTATACTCGTTTACCTTTTTGTTTGATTATATCATGTTACAAAACCTGCGTATGTTCAGTCATTAAAACGATTATTTACGTGTAGTTGACTGGTAAGTGCAGTTATTTGTATGTGTGTAGATAATATTCTAGATGTTGTTTTATGTTTCAATGTGAGCAAAGTGTGTGATAATTCAGTCAAGAAAATAACAGAATGATCGTGCGTCAAATTGTTCACAAAACAACCAAGTCAAAAATTTATATGTTTTCAAGTGACATTACAAGTGACACATAATCTTAAGCATACCACTAAACCCAATTACATACAATGTCTCTTTTGCCCTGTATTATGTTTCAGACATTTCGTAATGTTGCCAATTCAAATGCGAAATCATATATACTAACGCCAATTCACTTAGTAACTACGTCTAAGGTGTTGTAACCGTAAAGTACAGTTTATCTACACTCATATTATACCTTTAGGTGACTTCATCCAGAAACCAAAGGAAGTTTGCTTAACCAGACTGTATCACTCTTAACTGTAGTCCACCAGTGCCACAGTGGTGCCAGATCAAGTAGCAGAGACGCCCAAGGAAGATGCAAGGTTTCTGTTTTACCTCGACTATTTGTAGCATCGTCTGGCTTAGAGACGTTCAGGAATAGCTTAGTCCGTCCCGCAGGTACCTCGGAATAACATTGGTCTCAACAGTCACGCCCATGAATGGCAGTGGCACTCACAACGGACGCCTATAAATAGCATTGCCCAAAACACCGACTCCCGTAATTAACATTTTCAATTAACATGAGGTCTTGGCGCCGCATTTTTACTTTTTCCAACATAAATGCTGGCACTTCGGAATGTATTCCGAGTTCACCGCTGTTGTGTTTTGAAAATGCAAGAAATTGGTAATTGTGACCTGTGTTTTAAGCTTTCTTTCTTTTTCTAAAGCTTTCAGTAAGCTAACAAAAGATATAGTGTGGTGTTGCGAGATCTTTTACCTTCAGTATACATAATTTTATTATCTTTCTTCTACTACCGTGTTACGCATTACCCCATAGTTAATGGCACTGTGTATGATCATTTCACTGCAACCAGTAGCAGAAACTTTCCCGGAAGTGAGCTTCAGTGCAACACAACCAATCACTACATCTGATCTCATGCTAAGGTCAGATATACTTCTAGTTCTGTCATGTCAGAATATGAAAGACATCACCAACACAAGTTTTCCGGTTTGAGACAAATATCCGCTTTCTGTGTAAGAGGTGCGTCTGTTTCGCCAGACATCGAGCACATATCTACTGGTATTAAAGAGGGACGTTAACGACGGCGTGGTCTACATCACATCCGACAGAAACCTACAGCGACCGTCTTTGAGACTGCCAGGGGCACTTGGTTATATCTTTGAACATACGAGAATGTATTCCGTCAACACACATAGCCATCGTTTTAAATCGTGATGCTATCATATTATATATGAAGGGACCGGTAAGATTCACAGGGGATGTGGGATCTGAGGGAATCAGCGGAGGGTCACCCCAGGCTATTACATAATCTTGTGGAGGATCATAAATAGGTGAGGTGAAATTGGGTTTAACGTCGTGCTTGAGAATATTTCGCTCATATGACGACGTGCATGCGTGTGTATGTGTATGTGCGGCTGCTTGTACTAGCCCAGACTGAAGCTGGTTTTATAGTGCTAGCCCACTGAGATACCATGCCGCAGTGAAGCATAAATACCCCACTCAGATACATTATACTGACTCCGAGCCGACCAGTCCTTGTTGTACCCATTTATGCCGAGCGCCAGGCAGGGACCAACAAGTACCATATTTTAACGTCTGTTGGTATGACGCGGTCGGGGATCGAACCCGCGACCTTCCGCTCTCTCGGCGGACGCTCTAACCACTACACCACGGAGGCGGCCGGATCATAAATATGGTTATTTCATGACACAATATAAAGCATTTTGCCTCGCCGAGAAGAGTCATACAAGCAGAAAGGACGATGACTTGGAATGGATGATCATCAGATATGGCAATCATAAATCATCATTGTCTGTGCATAAGTGCATCAAAAACCTCGGATGCACGAACTCGTTTTATGTACGACCCACTACTGATCTATATAGTTGATAGTGCTTTCTCGTCACAAAATAGTTTCAATCTTGCAATTACCGCAATCTGCATTCATTTGTCAGTCATGCCGCAATGCAGACCAGCGTTGGTACCTACCAAGTTATTGCTGACATTCTGCTGTGGAACACATTCCTTACTTGCCTTGTTCTCGTCTGTCTCACTAACTGATAAACTTGAGGCATGCCGCAATGCAGACCAGCGTTGAACCACCATGCTCACATCATTCATTCGCTTACAGCTGTCCTATCTTTAGAATTACCCACGGTATTATTCACTATATATTTGATTACTAAGAAAACATATACACTGATGTGATGAAGTTGAACGATCGCTGCACAGTCATAGCTGGAAGCTTTCATAAAATATATATGGTTGAAAAGAAGTATATATATTTGGTTGTTGCTCTTGGTGCTCTTCCACAGCTCTTGAATGCAATGCATTGTATTCTAAGCCCTTTGTTTTATACCATTTGAATTTTTTACTGTCATCACTATTACTGATGCACATTATCCTATTATTACGTACATGCACACTGCACAGGTATTGTTTGTGAGTATGTGGTTGCGAGAGCACTCAGATCCATTGCTTGTACAAAGCGGGATCCATACATTCTGCAATGATATGGGGTGAAACGAACTATAACTGTTTATGTACGACCGAAGAATTCATGACAATGGAACTGTTTTGAAATTACTCAGATCTTCTCCGGTCTCTATTTATCAGCCTGTTGTGGATTTAACAGACTAACGGTCTCATGCACGAATTGTAAACTATGTTCCCGGTTCTGCAGTGCGTAATCATACACGGTTCATTTAAAGCTAAACCAGGGTTTATCAATGCGAATGCAGCCAATGGAAATTTGAGAGGTTAGTTTCAAATCAGTCGCACATCATAGCAAAGTAATACATCCAAAATGGATAACTAACACGATATTATTTGATGCAGGTTTCATGGTGATATAATCCGATGGGAATTGTGTGCTTACATCATGTTTACCTGACAAACATAATGTTGGATGTTGCGTGGCTTGACTGGCGAACAGGTGATAGTCACGCGAATTCCCCTATAGGAAGTTTACGTCCATTTCAGTACATCTGTAACATCCCGCCATTAGTCACAGGAATATTCTAAAAAGCTGTAATATATCTCGATATATCGCCTAGCACTAACTGAATGTGCAATCCTTTAAATATGCACGCTGAATATTGTGTGCTAATGAGACACAATTACTGTCTCAGAAAGGAAGGCAGACAACTAATCTGGAATTGTTCTCCATGAACAGAAGCTCAGCTCCCAACAGAGTGAATTGTATCTTTTGTTCTCCTGTTATTATTCACGTCAATAAAATATTCATTAGATTGGCAGTGCTGGGTTTATAAAGTAGTTCAAATGAAGTAAATCCAAAGTAGACCAAAAGGCTGAGAACAGAAAAAACATTAGTCAGCTTAAGCTTGTCATTTAACTATAAAGTGATAAAACGTTGTCTATATTATTGCAATAGGAACGTGTAAGGCTATTTTAGATTTTCAAATATTCAAATAAGATGCATTACGCGCGGTGATGTTTATTACGAGGGGCTAATCATTGTCATTTATACAGTACATTAGCTTAAATAAGGAACACTCATTAACCCCTTAACCCCCATGCACCCCAATGGGTTATCCTGACAAAATGCCTACAAATACTTTTTAACATATATTGCTGAGCTGCTGGACTGGTATGCAAAGATGTAGTAGTTGTTTGGGAGTTATTCCACCTGAGTGGGTATCAGGAGATGTGGACACGTGTGAAAAATGAAAATGGTGGGTTTGAGACGTTCTGCAAAGTCAGTTTTAATCTTGAAAACTATCCACCTTAAATGTCACAGTTTTGCATGTAACCTGAACAATACCTTATTTGTGCAAGAATGATTACAATGCATGACTATAATTCGTAAGCACACCCCGACAGGGTGCATTAAAGGTGCCCAGGGTTTTCATTTACAGATATCAAGTAAAAGTTGAAGGAAACTTTGTTTTCTAGTTGTGACACGGCCTAAACTGCAAAAACGTTATAGTTTTGCCCTAAATAATTATTGTCAGACAACAGAATGGTACTGAAGGTTTATACTAAAGCACTGGAACATAATATTATTATGAAACACCACGATTAACATGTAATCTTTGCAGAATTTATAGTGTACATGAGTGAGTGAGTGAGTATGGTTTAACGCCGCTTTTAGCAATATTCCAGCAATATCACGGCGGGGGACACCAGAAACGAGCTTCACACTTTGTACCCATGTGGGGAATCGAACCCTGGTCTTCGGCGTGACGAGCCAACTCTTTAACAACTAGGCTACCCCACCGCCCCATAGTGTGCATGATGTCAGAATCATTGACAAATACGATATTGCTGATGCTTCTATATTCATGACACCACCTGATAATGGCGCAGAGTCTGACGATGACAGTGGTGATGACGACTGGTGAACTATTGGCAACATGACAGGTTGATCTTTAATGCTCAAATGAATTGATACAATCTACCACGAACTGGCTTAAATTGAATTTATAATATCAAACTATATTTGAAAATTAGCAATATTTAATAAGTTGGGGATTAATGGGTTAACGCAGAATTATGACACTATAAAATACTACCAAGAGGCTAAGGTGGAACAAGTTTGGTGAGGTGTCTATACTGTATACAAACTGGTTCTCTCTACATATATAAGCCACAAACAACGAAGCTCTCGAGACCACGATAATAACGCTGTTTAAACTAAGGCCGGATAAATATGAATTGTCAGTGTTTTGGGGATCCTTTTGCTGTAATCGACATTCATTCTATCTCTTTGCCGTAGAGATCAACGGTTGTGTGTAGACGTTAATTGCATACCAATATGTGTCTCAATAAGGATTTTAAAATCATGCAAGACCCAAATAATGTGCCGTGTCGCGGATTATTTTTCTTATAACTGACAATCTTATTGTGCTTGGGGTCGTATCCATATTTAGGTGTGCACATCATTTTTTTTATCGAACAGGAGCTTCATTGGGCACTACACACATTACTATATGACATTGTACTCTCAATGTCTACACCTAAGAGACAACAGACCTACAGAACATAATATTGCAAATGTTATGGTATAACAGATGCGTATTTATATATATATATATGAAATGTGATATTTACCTATTTGTACCATCAACATGTAGGAGAGATAACAATAAGAAATAAGCATGTAAATAATAATATTTCACCAGAAATACCCATGCGGTTAACTGTATATATTGTCATGTTTCAGTTTTTTTCATCGTGTGCTAGCCTTGCCGAACAACCCATGACAATATATAACTTAAGTGACGATCTGTACTCTTGATTGCCGCCATATCGTCGCACGTTGATGTAAGTACCGGCCAACCGGAAAGGTCAACCGTGAAACTTCCGGCAACAAACGCAAACAGTTTCTGGTGGAAATCGAAATCCCCTCTCCCATTTCCTTTGCTGATGTATACAGACATCACCGGCTGTTACCGTTCAAGTTTATGTGTCGTTTATTTGACTAAATAAGATGAAATACCAACCGGATAGAGACAAAATCCTTTAGGTGTTCACTCTTTCCCCTGTCCAGACATATACATTTTTATTCAAAGTCATTCCAAATTCGATGACATTAATATAAGGGTAACGCTATATTTCAGGGCATTATCATTTGCAGAAGCCCGCCGTCTTTCATTAACTGCCCGACAAAGAAGGGCTTGTGCAAATGATAATGCCCTGAAAATTAGCGTTACCGTTAGTATAGCTAAAATGGATCGAATTTTTAATAAAATAAAAACAAACATTACTATCGGTTTTGAAGCATTTACTGCTAACAACAAACGACGGAGGTCTCTGACCCACCTTTTACAAATATGGAAACGTCATAGAACAAAACAGATGAAAAATACCGTTAGTATAGCTAAAATGGATCGAAATGTTAATATAATAAAAACAAACAATACTATCGGTTTTGAAGCATTTACTGCTAACAACAAACGACGAAGGTCACTGACCCACCTTTTACAAATATGGAAACGTCATAGAACAAAACAGATGACGTCACTATTGAGCGTGACGACATTCGACCTTGACCTTTTTCGTCGGGCAGTTAATTGAAGACCTAGGGCTTCAGCAAATAATAATGCCCTTGAAAAACAGCGTTAGCCCAATACTATTCCCCTTAAGTGCCAACCACATCCATCCATCCATCCATCCATCCATACATACATACATACATACATACATACACACACACACACACACACACACACACACACACACATACATACATACATACATACATACATACATACATACATACATACATACATACATTTTCCTCACTAAATCAAGCATACATGTTCTATTTATTGCTTGTACCCTCCTGCAACATTTCGTACCAGATGGGGTAAAGACAGATACATTGATCACCTCTTTATAAGTCCTTGAAATTAATATCTATAGTATTTAACAATTTCGAAATCAGTTTCAAGAGTGTGACTGGGTATACAGGATTCAGTGCTTGGAATCGAAACACACAACTAGGATTGTTCTAACGCTGAACTTCCCCCATGCAACCTACTTTCTTCGGAGTATACGGTATACGCATCACTCATATACAATGTATGTGTACACCACAAGGCTGTTACAAAAGCAAACTGATCTTAATTTTCATATTCAAACTCAGTTTAGAAAAAATTCCATGTCGACCAAGGCTATGTCATTGCATTTATTTGCAACATTAAACCAATGGTATGATGGATCACGGAACCACATGACTGAATCTGGTCAGAACGAAAGTGCGTAATCTCAATTTTGGAAAGTATTCTTGCATTTATCTAAAAGTTGAAACTATACAAAATATAATAGTTGTTCATCTAAAAGAATTCGTCGCCAGCGCTTAGTGCCAATGCATGATGCGTAATCTAATACTTCAAAGGTTTTCAAAGAGGAGTAAAAGACTTTTGCAGAATAAATTGTTTTGGAAGATGTGACATGCAAACAACCATATCAGAAAAACGATGATATGTTCATCTCGTAAGCATCACCCTTATGAAATATTATTCTAAACTTCCTTGCTATGATATGGCATTGTAGACCTAAATATAATTTTCCACCAGTGAAATTTAGTAGAGGGCTTCTTTTATGGCAACAACACTGCAACGAATTTCTGGTGATGACGTCTAGTGATAAAGTGTCTTCATTGTTGAAACGCAATATCGAAAAAAGAAAAGGTATTACAAATGTGAATAAGTATGTTTTATCAGATTCAGGAATCATCGGGTAAGAGGTATGCTTAACCTTTTATTGATCAGAGAACGGAGAATGAAAGATGATTTGAACAATCTCTCCTGCCCAGGTCCACGATCTATGAATGACAGTCATGTAATCAAATTAACCGTTTTATATGTCGCACTGACATGATCCCTCTTAATCTTGGTCCCTGTCTTTTTCAGGTTTTTGTTCGAGATGAACTGACTTGGAAAATTGCGTGATAACATTCACTGAGGCAAGTGCTCCGCCTGCAATGCCATGCGCTGGACCCATTTCCTCCCGATCGGTATCGGTGATTGTCTTATGAATATGGGGAGAAACATTGTGTCTGCCTATGAGAGATAGGAGTGTCGTTCAAAGTGGAAGTGCATACAAATTCCTTGTGGTATTTTTAGGGACACATTTGTGGTTAATGACGCCAGGTGTGACTGACAGAGAGCACAATAAGCTGGGCTTAGATGTACGTCCGTCCGTGAAAACTATGTTTGCATTATCAGAATTGTTGACAGCATCAACCTTTACATGACTTGATGGAAAACGAATAACTTAATTTACAAGGCTATTTTACGGCTCAACACCACTCATCGTGATAAAGAGATTTTGATAGCTTACAAAATATCCCGATTTAATCTCAAGATCAACCAGCTGCCGGCATTACGAGAGTGCGCAAAACTTAATGCTCCAGCTTGTGACAATGAAGCCAATATTAAGCAAGACTCTACTTTGTGTTAAGATGGCAGCAAGGATGAATCCATTGGTCACGTCGACGTCAGAACCAGCTTGTCGTTGTTTCATAGTTTGTCAGCATTATACTGCTACAAGCTGGTGTTTCACGTTGATGAACGTCTACAAATTGTGTCCCATGAATGACTGACCATGTCATCCTTTAACGTGGAACGTTGGTGGGTTGTTCCTCGGTTGACTAATGCTTAGTCTCTGAAAAATAATACTTAAGGTGCTGCTAACATTAAATATCCAATACTAATTGGAAAGGCCGTAACTGTGATACTTCGAGATATACTATTAGCCGTGAGCATAACATCTGAACACCTTTGCTCTAATCACAGGAACATTGCATTCCCTATCCCTCAACTTCCAATAAATAGTCGACGCACTGATAGAATGTGTTTCATGCAAATTGGTCCTCACCATGTTTCAATGAATCAGCAGTTCACAGACTAGCAAATGTCAATATTTACTGTCACTAGTTCACCGCTTTATACTTTATGTCTGCACTGCTATCTACAGTGTTCACCTGTGCCATGCTAAGACTGGTATATACCGTAGTAAGAGCGCAATTTCAGTAACAGTAACGCAAACAATACCTGTTCATTTGAGATCATTCAAAGCACTGCATATTGCAAATGTGTTTTCATCACATACATAACGCTTCTCAAATGGAAACATATTTGAAATCAGGGTTTAATCTGATGAGAAGTGTAATCCCACAAAACGGAAAGTCCAGTCCAAAAGTATGAGTATGTTTGTTGCTTTGAGTCAAACGTGAGACGTTTGAACACAGTGCCATATCAGATCCATACAGTGTTGATCACTTAATTTGACGATAACACACAAACACACTAGTCATCATGTTGTAAATAGAGCCGGCAGAATGTTTGTAGCATTGAGTGTAGGTATGCCTGGAAGATAATCAGCCACCTTAAATCAGGGATGATATAATGTTTAATAGCCTGCCTAGATACGCCTACAACGTATCGCATACATTTCCCTTGTGACGTACAATGTTTACTCGTGTACTTCAGGTTAGAGAAATACACCTCGCGTCTCTACAACATCCCCATACGAAAACCGATAAGCGTATCACTCTCAACAGGTGTTGATGGATTATTCCATGATGGACAGAACAACATTAGAGTCATGATGATGACCATTAGCGACACAATTCATTCCATAAACAAACATCCGTTTCATCATCACCCTTTTATTGACGATGAATCGACCCCAGTTTAGCACTGTTTGGTCGATGAGAAAGAAAGCTCTGTCCACAGTAACGATTTAATTATGTAAAGTGAATTCAGCAGATGATGTCAACAACACGTCAATCTTAAGTCTTTAGCGGCTTCAGATGACCTTTGATGTGTACGCCTGTATCTATTTTCACAGTAACTACTTCGGATTGGTAAAGATAGGATGTTTATCAGAACCACCGCCGCAACACTTTGGGTGGAATTAGTGTTTGTCACTGTCGTCTTTAATACAGCGATCCTTTATTCCTGCTCGACCTATCTCATCTACAGGTCAATCTCGTTGACACTCAGTTAGATGCAGGGGTATAAATGTCACGTTTTTATCCAAATGATACACGCATCCATGCTACAAAGTAAAAGCTAATGGAACAGGAAGCTGATAAACTTGAGAACTTTTTTGTGAGGCATGTCAGAAAAAAAGACATTTTGAAGATGACGAAGTGAGTATGCCCGAAGGCTACATCTGTGATGCTGAAGACTTTTTTTGAAGATTGTGATGCACATGTGTTGGCCATCGAGGAAGATTAGTTGCCACTTGAGTGATGATGAGCCTCTGCATCCGGTCGGTGCTGTTTGACTTTGTTTGCTGATGCTTGGCTCAAAATCAATTAACCATTCACATTTCCTTTTTCATGTCTTCAAATATTTGGAAAAATCAAATCCCCAAATCTCACATGTGTTGACATTAATTTCCATATGACACAAGAAAAAGATATTTGAGGAACATGCTGAAATGTAGTCACGGACAGACAATCTTTATGCTATGTTATGTGCATAAAGAACAGATGATAACCTACATATCCTCAAATCATTTTTAACAGCGGGTCGACAAATCCAGTAAAATTTAGCAAGTCAATAAAACATGACAGAGCATTTGCAAGCAAGCCAAAAAGAAGGCTAAAGCCAGAACAGCGATTGTTTGTGTTAACTAAGTTCATTATAGAAGGGATAGTTTCGCGCATCTACACACGCTCGATGGAGTCACTTTCTGAAATGGATTTTCAGTGTTTCTTTACAAAGAAGGAGCGCCTTCGTCTTTGCTTCCCTGTTCCCGGTTTGGACTTCTGTAATTGCATAGTAAATAATTGGTGATGTTGTACTAGACAAACGATCTATAACGTAGACTCTATATGGTATCCGAGAGCTACACTGACTGATACAACATGACAGTGCCTCAGCTGTTTTGTTGTTCAAAGAGCAGCCGAGTAAAAATAAATATGTCTTAAGCATACAACAAAACCTAAGCACATTCAGAGTCTCTTTAGTTTTGCATTATGTTTCAGATGTTTCGTAATATAACCAATGTAATGATAAATGATAGATACTAGTGCCAATTCACCCAGTAACTAGTATCAGCATCTACAAACATATATAACTTCAGGTAAGTTCATTCAGAAACCTAAGGGAGTTGGCTTAACCAGGCTGTGTCAGTATTTCTATCCACTGTAGTCCCACCGGGTTACGATGGCGCCAGATCAAGTGGCAGAGACGCCAGGGGAAGATGAACAGTTTCTGTTTTACCTTCTCTTAAGTTGATCCTTCCTGACGTCCTTCACGTTTGAGACACGCAGCCGTCATGTTGCTCAAGAATTGTTGTCTCAAATTTAATACTGATCTTGCAGTTGGTATTTGCCAGGGCTTCTGGCTGGTTGGTGTGTTGCCATGTTCATACCTGGGATACTGAACGATCTGTGATTGTTGGGGTTCTTCAAATGGCATCCTTTAGCAAGCATAACAGTCGTTCATTCTTGCATAGCATGTTATTTCTTGCCTATGTATAGCATCGTGTGGCTCAGAGGAATAGCATAGTACGTCACACAGGTTCATCGGAATC